GGAGTAGAAAGCCTCATCTTTCTCCCGCGGAGCAGCTGGTAGTTTCGAACCGCTGACTTTAAGGTTCGCAGCCCAATTCGTAACCACTACGCTACCAGAGCTCCATCACATTAGCGGTGAGGTAATTAAATGACCAAATAGAGCAGGCTAAGTTAAAAAAAAAAAATTTAAGGTTTTTATTGTGGATTGAGAGTTTACAGTGCAGATCATCAGTTTTACATTCAACAAATCATACACCTTGTTTCATTACAATGATTGTAATCCCCTCCATGTACCATTAGTTAATAGTATTTCTGTCTATTCACTTTAACTCTTAAAAAATTTTTTTTGAAACACTCAGGCATATATAATAATTTAATACCATCAAAGGGCACATTCTGCAAGTCTGCCTCCTGGCTGCCGCCTCTTAGTCCCTCTCTTCCCTTGAATCTCATCTGCTCCCTCTCTCCATGTCCCCATCTCTGCCTTCATCTCTGGTGTCACGACTTCTCTGGATAAGGTCCCGCATTCTGCTTGTGCTCTTCTCCCTTGATGGTCCTAGGGTCCTCTGTTTCTGGACTGTAAGATTAACTACTACGTTTTGGTTACAAAACTACAATTATTACCGTCGCAATTAGTCATGATAATTACTATTGAATCATAAGAATCTTTAAAAATTTTTTTTACTGTGAATTATGTGATAGTTTACATGGGAGAACATTAGTTTTACATTCATCCTATCGTATATCATTTCGGTCGTCAGAACACAGCCCCTCTCCCTCTCTGGGTCTAAAGTCCCCAGCTGCTCCATTGCTCCATGTCATCGTCTCTGCCTCCATCTCAGGCATCACTGCTTCTCTGGGTAGGGTCCTGCTCTCCGCTCTTCTCCGTTGATGGTCCCAGGGACCTCCGCTCCTAGACTGAAAAGTTAATCACTCCCCTCCTTGCTACAAAACGTCTACCTTTACATTTCCAACCCTCACAAGCAGTCCTGATAACAGTTATTCACTATTGTATCACAAGAGACCCATCCACATTTCATTTATCCCCATCTCTTTTGACCAGACCCATCTAGACAGCAGGCTAATTTTTAAGTTGGTAATTTTGATTAAAATAGGACAATTTTGAATGATGTAATAAATATCCAAATGGCCCTTGGTGATATGAAGGTTCTCAACCCCTTCATTCAGGAGTCCTGGGATGCTGCAGGTGAGTTAATGCACTCAACTGCAAAGTCGGTTCCAATTGCAAGGTCAGTGGTTCAAGCTCACCAGCTGCTCCTTGGAAACCCCAAGCAGGGTAGCTATGGGTTGGAACTGACTTGGCAGTACTTAACAACAATCCCTTCATCAGAGTAAAGCTTTGTCACTTAACGTGTGGTTGAGTAATTGCTTAGACTCTTGACGTAAGTCAAAGTTTGACAGTTGGAACTGTTGGAACGTCAGAGAATTTCAGGTTTGCTGTATTATGTATTAAATTAGCAAGGTTAATTTAGCAGAATGCAGCAAGGATTTGAAAAGGGTGCATCTGTTACATCCGAGTCACTGGCGGAAAATGATCCTTTTAAAAAAACTTTATTGTGAATATAGTGAAGACTTACAGACAAGCTCATCAGTTTTACACTCAACAAATCAAACACTTTGCTTCATTTCAATGACTGTGACCCCCTCCAGGGAACAACAGTCCTCCCACCTACTCCCTGTGGTACCTACTCCCTGTGGTTCCTACTACCTGTGGTTCCTACTTCCGTTCCACCCACCCTCCCATCCCTTCTTACCTTTGTCTTTAGGTGCATGTTGCCCTTTTGAATTTGAATGACTGACTGTCCCACTGCCCCGTCATTCATACCCACTGCCCCGTCATTCATAGTGAGCACACCTCACTAATGCTGTTGGTCCCCCTAGATGCTTACTTATCTGCTGCTGGGCTGAAGGTTGAGCCAGGAGGGTGAGTTCCTTTCCAGAACTGAAGGTGGCGGAGAGCCACACTCTCAGGTTCCTCCAGCCTCTTTCTCACCAGTAAGCCCAGTCTTCTTTTTTAAAATATAGTTTTCAGTTTTGTCCCACACATTCTGCCACTCTATCTGGAATGCACCTTTCCCAGCTGTTGGTGGTGGTAGCTGAGCATCATCTCGGTCTGGCTGCAGAGTCACATGTGCCATTAGTCCGTGGGACCACCTGATTCCAAGCATTTTCGATTCTCATCACACTTTTCTTCTGCACATGGAAAGCCAAACAGCTGTACCGCAGACAGCCGCCCCTGAGTTTTTAATATCCCAGAGTACTCCCCACGGTAGGATACAAAGCATTTGTCTTTTGTGAACTTGTTAAGAGCTGTCGATTCGGTGCCGACTCGTAGCGGCCCTGTATAGGGGTCCCATGAACTGCCGACCTTCCGCCCTGTGCTTTACTCCCCAGCACCACACCAGGACTCTGTGCGCTGTGTTCTGCCACGTGACCCTGCGACTGTCCTGAGCCCCAGGCGCTGCTACTCCTTGCCTTAAAGATGTTTGATAAGATCTAAGACGTTTTCATCATTTTCCCCTTGTACGCACCACCACATTCATAGTTATGTTAGAAGGTCTTATATTTTTTAAATAAAATTTAAAATCCTTTAGTCTCTAACCAAGTTTGTAAAACGGACCAGGCATGGACAGCTGACGGTCTCCGTTTTGTTAAACTGTGGCTCAGGATAAATTTTAAGAACGAAGATTTTTGAATTTAATGAATCCTAATAAGTCGATAATTATTTAAATAATCGTAGACACCTAAGGACAGGACGTCCACGGTCCGGACGCACGAGGTCTCGGGCCAGAGGCCCCGGGTCCCGCTCTCAGTCGGGCTCCGAGGACCGGGCCCCTGGACTGTTGTGCGCAGGCGCAGACCGCTGTACGGAACCTTTGAGCGCCGGAACCCCAGTGGCCGGGCTCAGGCCGGGCGGAGGAGGTACGCTGCAGAAGCAGCCCGCTGCGCCGCTCCGGCGTTTCCGGGACGGCGGCACCATGAGACTGATTTCGCGCGCCCTGTGCAGTGCCGTCCGGGCAACCTGGCGGGAGAACTTCCCTCTGGGCGGCCGCGACGTGGCGCGTTGGTTCCCGGGGCACATGGCCAAGGGTGAGGCGCTGGGCAGGCGGCAGCGTCCCCAGCTTCCTCTCCTTCCGGGCTGCCGGCTCTCCTGCGGGCGGGACTTGGGGCTGCTGGGTGGAGTCTCAGCCCTTAACCCTGGATTCAGGACCTGGAGATCAGGGATGTAGCGGGGCTCGGGGGCCCGATGCTTCCCTGAACCCCGGGTGCAAGCCACTGTGCGCTCACATCTGTTCTGAAAAGTTGGTGTTAGACCTGCTTCTCAGGGTTTTAAAGATTCTACCTCCGGTGGCTTCGTACTGCCAACCCTTTGACTGGTAGTTGAGCATTTAATGGTTTATGCACCCGCTGTCAACCGAAACGTTATTTTGAGGACTAAATGAAATGGTGTGTACACACTTTGAAAATCTCTAAGTGTTATCACTGCAGAACACGCCTTGAGCCGTGTCTTTCTGCCTCCGTAGAGTAGTGGGCTATGAGTTGGGCTGCAAGTCACAAGGTCAGCAGTTCGAAACTACCAGCTGCTGCTTCTCCGGAGAAACATGAGGCTTTCTGCTCCCGTAAAGATTTACAGCCTCGGAAACCCTGCGAAGGTTGCTGAGTTAGACTCTAGACACACAACCACTCCCTAAATATCTGTGGGAGTATCTGAGCGTTTTCTCCAAATCGGACCCCAAGAAGACATGTATGATGTCTTCATCCACCACGCCCCTCCCCTCCTGGATGGAAGCTCCGATTCATCCAATGAATACCAACCACATTCCCACCGTCCTGGGCTTTGTGTGCACTGGGATCCTAGGGGACAAGGCTGGCTGGTGGGAGCAGTAGGAAGGGGAAGTGGTGAGTGCTGTGGTGTTGTAGGACCTTAGGAATGAGACAGTATTACTGTGTACGTGGGGACAAGAGTGTGGTTGTTTGTGGGGTCCTGGTTAGGAGCCTGTTTGGTGCTGGAGGCGTGTGAGTGGATGGTTAGGGCTGGCTAGAGCGCAAAGCAGTGACCAAGGCCCAGGACCTTTGGAGGTAAAATACTCCACCAAAGTCTGGCAAGTCTCAAGTTGGGGGGGGAGCGGGCTGGCTCTGTGGGTGGTGTTTCATCCCTGTGACATGCTCCCCCCCCAGGAGGCAGAGACCACACACCTCTCAAAAGGAGACGCCCAGCAAGTAGTTGCTACCATTTAGTGTATTCTGTTTAGGTTCCTGACGGTGGTGTGTTGTTCTCCAGGGTTCAGTTGAAATCAAATCTACCTTAAATGTCAGGGCCCCTCCCTTAGGTGCCTTTCTTCTGTTTCTTAGGGCTGAAGAAAATGCAGAGCAGCCTCAAGCTGGTGGATTGTATCATCGAGGTCCATGATGCCCGGATATCCTTTTGTAGATGGGGGGCGGGCTCCCTGCTATGTTGCCTGAACCACGGAGTGGAGTTCTCCTGGGAGTCAGCAGAAGCCTTGCTACTGTTACCTTCTCTGTTCCCACTGCCCTGTCTGGTCCTAGCTCTGCCTCAGCACGTACCCACAGAGGCCCAAAGCCTCACCTGCATTGGTTATTGGCATTTAAAACATGGGTCTCACCCTTAGTTGTTCATGGAATGAACCAGATATGCTGAGGAAGGGGCAGAGGACCTTCTTGCCTGCATGGTTGTCTCACTTGGTGGGACCCCCAAATGAGGCCTAACGGTCTGGCTTAAGGAAGGAGGGACCTGAGGTGTTTCACCCTGGAGCCCCTGGCTTCACTGGAGGTGCTGCTGGGTGTGAGATACCCCAGGCGGCTCTTCCCGAGTCACTTGCATCTAGACACGGAGCCTTTCGCAGAGCTTGGCTCTTCTTTGTCTTGCTGTTACCACTGCTGAGCAGCTGTGTGCTGGCCCTCTGCCCTGCGTGACCACCTAGTGACCTACAGGAAGTAGAGTGCGCACCCTGGGCAGAGGAGCAGTCAGCCCTTTCTAAACAGGATGCCTCTGAGCGTGGGGCCAGACTGCACAGGCCGAGCAATCGGCTGGTGCCATTTCAAAGGAATTTAGCCTTAATTTTGCAACATCCCCCTTTCTGGCCGCAACCCTGTGTTTCAGGAGACCCTTGGCCTCAAACCGCATCTGCTTGTCCTCAACAAAATGGACTTGGCAGACCTCAGGGAGCAGAAGGTGAGGGATTTTCTCAGACATGTCGACATCTCTCTGGGCCACCTA